ATGCATATTTGAAAATGATATATAGAAGTTTATTCGATATTATTGCCTTCATACCATTACTTGAATGTGATATTTAATTTATGTCTACATAATTTCATTTATGCTAAAGCTATCTATATAGGCCTACTTTTCTTAATTTTTCTTGATTTTTCTTTCTTTTTCTTTTTCTTTTCTTTTCACTTTCTCCATTATATTCATTTTCTATTCTTTTTATTTCTTTTCCTTTCCAGTTTTTTCTTTTCCTTTCCGTTCTTTATTTTTCTTTCTTTAATTTTTCCTTTCTGTTTCTTTTCCTTTCAATATTTACATATGTTTATATATCATTTGAAAATGATAATTAGCCATCTCATAGACATGAGGTCTATTCGATGTTAGTGTCTTCACACCATTAATTTGAATATTTGATTTATGTTTATATAATTTCATTTATGCTAAAAATAGCTTTAATATAGATGATGTTTAATATCTGCATCTATCTCTTATGACAAATTAATGTTATAGTTTATGTCTTAAAGTTATTTTGCATTTACTGTACTTCATTTAATTCATTACTATTTTTAACCGTTTTAACAAAAGAATGTTTTAGTTTATGTCTTAAAGTTATTTTGCATTTACTTCAATTAATTCAGTACTATTTTTAACGTTTGAACAAAAAACAAATTATAGACAAAAGTACCCATCCCCTGATGGGTTGATATTTACCTCTTTTTTTGGCGGTTGGGGTATTACAACTTTTTTGATGACTACTCTATTTGAAATTTAGGATTTCAAGTTTTTGAAGTATTTGTAAAGTATGATTGACATTTCCGGACATCTAGAGGGGCCATATCCTTAAAATTTTCTCCCCTCATGGGGTTGCTGTGGAGGTTGTCGACTCTCAGCCAGCAGCAACTCCGATCCCGCACCTGTAAGACCATTGGTCGACTTAACAACCGGGACCCCATTAAAAAGGTTCAGAAGAAGCGTACAAACCAACTTTGATTTGTGACCCTTAACCATGATACTTTTTATCTGCAGCCTGATTTAATGGTTAATGGTTAATGGTTATTAATTTATAGAGCGCAAAATACAAAAAGTCTCTAACTGCAGCATGGCTCAAATTATAGCTAGTCATTTATAGCGTTGAAATCATGAAACAATATAAATCTAGGCCTACACGATTTGAAATTACATTAGTTGATTTTACTTTACTTACTTAGGTTTAGGTGATGTACTGGATGCAGGACTAAAGTCCTCTATATC